CTCAGGTAGTGTAGATTCTAGTTTGTTCAAATGACGAACGCCTGGAGGGGGGGGGAGTAAATTCAAGCCCGATGTGCTCAGGTGAGCGCTGTGGCCCCTGGGCCTCTTGTTCTTTATTTAATTTACCCTTGATATCTCAAAGCCTCGGATATCTTGAAGTTTCTCCTTCGTCCACTGAGTTGGAGATACATGATTGTACATCCATAGAACAGGATTTTTTAAGCATTCTATTTTCTTTGTTTTGAAAAATGTTTTTTTGCACTGTGTAATAATTTGAATTGTTATAATTTATCTGTTCATAAGGTTCTTCTGTTGGAATCTTTTTCTTAGTTACATGTACTACAATAAGCATACTTCCTCAGGGCTATCCTAGTTAAAGTTTATCTATAATTTGATCAAATAAAATCAAGACTTATTCTCAGAGAATTCACGGTTCATCTTTACTCTCTGTTTCCTTGTGTTATATGTAAAGAGAATATATTTTTCATTGCAATTGAGCACATTATCTACTGTGCATGTATTTAGATTTTGTAGTGGCTCAATATTTGTGGATTAATTCATGGTGATCATGCATCCCCAGTTTCATCATATCCTTAATGAATTGATAATTGCAGTCACAAGTCCACATTTCTCTTGACGATATGAGCGAATGCATGAAACTACCTTTCCCCAAACCTGTAGAATTAATTATGCAATCCACGAACAATTCACAATTTTACAGTGTTCTCAATGTATGGTTACAAAAAGTTGAAACACAGTTCTATGGAGGAGTAAGGGAACTAAAACAACGCAAATGTCAGCACACTCAGGTTAACTTTTGTTATCCCATCAAGAACCTCATAATTTTTCAGTCCAGTATGTGTATACATTAATCAATAATAATACATGTTTAGTAATTGCATTTTTTGTGAACAAAACCTATTTTTAATTTTATGATCTATTGGTCTGAGCTATGGTGATTTTTCTTGTTTTGTTTACCATGTTGTCTTACCAGTAGTTCATCGTTTCCTTGTTTCTATATTCAAAATATTTATAATGTATGTTTTTCAAATTTTTAACCTAGTCTGTGATATAAATTTGTTTGACAAATAAAACTTCATTCTTTTGCATGAATGTATAGAAAATCAGTTTTATATGGAACTGTAGAAGAACTTCCTTTCCTCTTCATAAATGAGAGCTACCATTTTGTAAAAGGTGGTAGGTTCTGGAAAAATGTTATAGAACTGAGTCAAGCTTTGACCACTTTTTATTACTCAGTTTTATCAAACTTCTCTGCATTTTACATAACATTGAAGGATTACATAAATTTTTTACCATTTTGCGTATTTAATTTTGACCTTTTGGTGACGTATACCATTGCCTGTGATGATAATTTATCACAAAATTCTAAATTACATCAATGAAGATTATTGATAACAAAGGTTTGTTTGTTCAATATGTCACCTGTAAGCCATGCCTAAATTCAATGCACTCATGTGTGACTGTCTCTTTTGCTAATTTATGGTTGTTCGGTATTTTTTTCCTTGTTTCATAGCAGCAGGACATATATATACTAAGGAAGTTCTGCAGTCAACTAACCACAATCCATGTACAGTGTCTTTAAATGCACATTTCTACTTTAACTGCTGAGAGGTATTAGGAACACAGTTAAACCACTGATATACATGTATCAGGTTGTTTACATTTTAATAAACAACGCTAATAATTCGGCATTGCCATATGTTTTTCAAAGGTTCCCTTTTCTTTAAGTCAACACTATTCTGTAGTCACAAGTGTTTCTATTAATGGCACCCCTCCCCCCATAATAAAAATATATAACAAAAGAAACAAACAACTAAAATATAAGTTCATGCAGTTATTTACTTGCACCAGCAGGCGAACAAGTCAAACATGATAACATTAAAATGTAAAGCAGAAAGTTTGATCCACCTCAAAAGCACTTTGTTCACTGGATAAAAACAGGCTCAACAAGTATTTATTGCAATAACAATCTTATTCTTAACATACTCATTGCACTACTGTTGCCATTTTGAATCAACAGCCCTCCAGATTTCTTTCACAAATTGCCATCAACACAGTATATAAACTCTTAAAAAGGTTGCATTTGACTTCCTGCTTTACAAAATACATTAATACAAATCTGTGATGCAAAGAATATTAACTTTACATACAAATTTCTTTTTAATGTCATGTCCAGTAAATAAGAACGGGTCGTATCCGACTGATCCATTTTGCCCACACTTCTATCTGTACAATCCTGCCTTCAGGTCACTTAATCCTCAATTTGGTGAGTACGATTTTAAATTGCTGAAAAAGCAAGCTGGAAGGGCAATATTTTGCAATATCAATATACATTCATCTGGGCATTTTTTTTTTAACTTTTTCACATTTTTGCTATTTTTTTGGCACTGGTTAACCTATATTACACCAGCATTTTTTTTTTAAATGTATATTTTTCACATTTTAAAACATTTTTATAATATTTTGTTGATGCTCTTTGTAATTTTTTTTTTAACTTTTAAAATGTAACATTATATTCACACACACAATAATTCACTCATACATTCACACATTATTTAAAAGAAACAAACAATTATACATCTCATAATGTAAAGCCAACAATGGGAACTTTTCTCACTTTCTGATTTGCCATCAGAATCCACAATAAGCCCTCTATTGCAAGTTCTCCGGGCAAACACACAAAAGTTTTGTCATACAAGCTTCATTTCCAGACAATTCCAGTATAAAAAATCCAGATCTCACTCGCAATGTCCTATTCCCAAAACAGGGACTCAAAATATTTAAAAAGTCTTAAAAATCGGTGTTTTGATACGACCCCTTACTTCCACTATCACAGATCATTTCATTATAGGTAACCACACTGGTTTATGTTTGCCCTTGCAGTGGGTACTCTAAAAGTGAATGTTGTACTTAAAATTGCTCACAACTATTGCATGCTCAGATATTTCCTCTTTTTGTGGAAATTTACTCAATATTTAAAAAAAATATTTCTCAATTAAAATTCTGTGAGCACAAAAGTGGGGAACAATTTTCAATTCATCATTCATCTCTAACAAAATAACATCGGAGAGTAGGAGGTCAACATCAAAAAAGATAAAAAAAAAAATACAGATTTTTCATGAAATTCTCTCAACAACAAGATTTTTTAAAACAACATATAACATCGGAGTAGTTTCTGCATTTTGCGACCAAAAGGTGGTGAATACCATATTTTTTGATACACACTCAAAAAAGAAAAAAAAAAAATACAGAATTTTTCATAATAAAATTGATCAAAGTTTTCATTTTTTGGAAAGCTTATTCATCATCAGTGTGACTGTATCAAATTGTGTGCCCACCATGTTGCCCCATTTGGCCACACAACAAGATAGCTTTTGGGCTAAAACAACATATTTTAACAAGTATTTTAACAAGTACAGACTTGGAGTAAGCATGGATTAACAGCTTGTACATACTTCATACTATATAGTTGATGAACTGTAAAAACATAAACAACAAAATTATCAACAGCTGAATCTAACTATACATATTATAGTAGATACACAGATAATGAGTTGGGTGAAACTAAAATATAGTTGCTGGGACATTTTCTCAATATTTACATGAATTTTCTTTTCCATGTTCAATTGTTGAGGATATGAAAGTTTGATAATAAATTAGCACAAACCCAGCGGTGTCTAGAAAGGTTTGAGGAAATTTATTGTCCTGGAGTTAATGAAATTTTACTCTGGGGAACTTGGGTAGCTAGAAACAGAGCCGTCAGTAAGGGAACCGTCACGCTTCCTTGCCTGTGTAATGATACTGCATCGAGCCCCAAGAAGATCGCACTGCTGCTTATAAAATTCCTTCTCGCGGGTCAGCAAGCTGAGCTGCCTCTGTAGTTGCTGCACTTGTTGCTCTAAAGATTTATTAGTTTTCTCCAATACACTGCGCTGTTGCATTCTTTTTGATCTGCAGTTTTGCGCGTAGCCTCGATTTTTTAATGTCCTGCGTTTTTGTTTGAGTTTCTGCACTTCCTCCTTTGTCATTCCCTGCAAACGACGATTGAGCTCTCGCACGGGGAGCATCACCAATTCGTCATCCTCCAAAGGCTCGAATTTTTTGTTAATGTTGTTCCTTTTCGGTGCTTTAAGGCCAGTCTTTATTTTCACGGCCACTTTGTCTTCGACCGCCATATTGGACGACACAGAACTGAAATTGCTGTCGGTGCTTGCATTGCTGAGAGAGCGTTTAAATTTTGCATTTTCTTCCTGAACTTGTATGGGTGGTGTGCTCTGCAACTCTCCCTTGCCTGCCTCAGCCCCCGACACCAAATACTTGCTGAAATTTTTCACAAACTCTGGACTGGATGATATGAGCATGTCCACATCGCTGTCGTTACTAGAACTGTCGTCAGAGCCGGCGACGAACCCTGTAACACTCTGGGTCAGCCAACTTATATCCTCCATCAACTGTTCATTCTCGGTCGGACTGGGGGGCACACTCTCTGCGTAACTTGGCGACGGTGGAACACTGTGCCCAGTCGGGGCAGGTGCGGTCGGCCTGGCAATCTTCACTGGGGCTGGGACGGGCGCATTTACCGCCGACCCACAACAATCAGCGAATTTATTTGTCTCCTTTTTTATTGCTGAAGGATCAAGTAACTGATCAAGATCAAAATCGGAAATGTAGTCGTTAGCTAAATGTTGGTCGGCCTCCATATTGGAAATCAGCTGGCCGGCTCCTCGTGTAGGCTCGGCTCGATCTTTGCGGAACTAGGTCACCGATCACAAGCTAAATTCAGCTAAAAAATGGTTGTGTTTCGCCGTATTTTTCCGGTCGTTTGATAATATAGATATTCAAGTTTCGGATTGTTTATAACAAACAGGCACACGTATCTCTGTTTCGTTCCGCTCAGATAAAAATCGACGGTGGTCCAAGGGCACAACCACCATACGACCTGACTGACGGAAAGAGCGAGCAACAACGAGGCCGCGGGGGAATCCCTTCTCTTTATATACTAATGTGATGTAACTCCTATATTTAGAAACCCTGCAAGCTCTCGACCAATAAATGCAGAGAGTCAGCTTTATATTTAGTTCGACATGACATCACATTGCCGGGAAGTTTCCATCATAGTCACTGATGTGTTTGACAGATCTGTCAAAATAATGTTGAGATTGAACGTTTCTATGTATTGATCTAACGAAGTGGTGCAATATGAGCAAGCCGAAACTTGAAATATTAAAAACTTTAATTAGACTAGGCCTAAAAAGCTGTAATATTAGGCCTGTCACATATTTCAAATATATAAAGCCCCATTGTGAGCACTAGCCTTAAAATCAGGACTGGAGTGTGTACATGTTAAAGGGGGGGGGATACATTTACAGGCTAAATATTGCAACACATGAATGACATTCAATTAAAAAAACATTATGATAAAATAATGTATAGTATAAGCAAATTAAAATACCCATTAAAAAGCAGTGCAAATGGGACCACCATATTTCATTCCAAAAAGCAAAGGGGAGCTGTATCATTGGGGGGGGGGGTTATAATGAAGACCAGATTTTTTTTTAAATTTCAAGATTTTCGGCAACAACTTTTTTGTTCTTCGCTGAATAAAAATTAAAGACTTACAAAAAAACCCCTTGAATCTTATTCAAGGAGGGGGAATGGGGTAGATCTAACGATGCAGACAAATTATTTATTTGAAAACATTCCCCTGCATGTACAGATTACTTATTTCCAAATTCTGCAACCCTCTTCTTCCTTCAGAATGCAATGTTTGAGTTGACGAAGTGGTTTAAATTTTTACCATTATGTAAAAATTATATACATTAGTTGTCTTTAACAAAATATAACTTAAATCTTATCAGGATGAACTACTTTGCATTTAAAATTTTAATTTAATATTTCAACACAAGAAGAGAAGTACGGGACTGGCGGATCACATTTCATTGCTATTTACATTAATTAATTAAATTAACAAAACCGTTTCATTAAGCATGATTTTTCTTTTTGAAAATTAGGTCAAACATCAAGGTCAAGGGTCACAAATCATAGCATGCTCGGAAGTATTTTCATGTCAAATATGAAAGCCCCATCTCTTCTCTATCAAAAGTTATGAAGAAAAAATATTTTTTTTTGAAAAGCAAGTCTAACGCAAAGGTCAAGGTAACGGGTCAAATATCATAGTGTATTTTGAAAGGCCTTGTCACAGGTAATAAACATGTGAAAGGTGAAAGCCCTTAAACTTATCATCCAAAAGTTGTGATCAAGGTTAAGGTTTTTTAAAAAGTAGGTCAAACTTCAAGGTCACGGGGTGATAAATTATATAGTGTATTTAGAAAGGTATTGTCATAGGTAATACACATGTTTAGTATGAAAGTCCTATAAGTTTTGGCCAATTTAAAGTAATGTTTAAATTTTTGAAAATTGGGCAAACTCCAAAGTCAAGGTAACAGGATAAAACATCATACGGCATTTAGAAAGGTATTGTCACAGATAATACACTTATGTAAAATGAAAGTCTTATTCCTTCTCATTCAAACGATACGTCCAAGGTCACCGTATACAACGGGTAACACGGGGAGTCGTTTTCAACGTATGGGGGAGTAGATTTTCAGCGCTTCGGAGTCGGAAGAGATGTTGGTCACGTCTTTTTTCGGTATTTATAAGAGGTATTTACAAAAAACAAATATCCCACGGAAGATGGCAATAGTTAAGCTTTATTTTGGTCATTTGTCCGGCTGTCATATACGTCTAGTTTTCTCAAACACTTCGAAACTATTTGACAGTTTTCATATTTACGTTGATCGGATGGTAAAAACATGCATGATTTGTACAATCTACGGCTTGCGTAGGGATTCTCACAGTTAAAACAGCGAGAGAAAACGTTTATCTTTTAAATGTAACAACTTAAACTTGACTAGACTTTATAAAAATTAATAATTAAGACATTTTCTCCTCAGACAGTGACGGTTACGTAGGGGGGAGTCGTTTATGGGAAAGCACATCGCAGGGGGAGTCGCAAAATAAAGTCAAATGCATACTTGGTGTTGTTTTCATCTCTTTTATACTGCCAATACCTTTTTATTTACTCATAGATATCTATAAATCTATGTTTGGTTATTTACTTTATAATTTGAAGTTACGAAAAGAGATTTTTTTCTGTGGCTTTATCAGTTCCAGAAAAAAATCAACAATATAGATTACATGAACAATTGGATTAAATACCGGTATCATCGGAGCACATGTGCTTTGGGACAGGATCTTCCCACTCAATAAGTAATTTTCGTACATGTATATAACAAAAATTCAATCCGGAATTCAGGAACCCTAACTTCCGACAATGAAAGCTTTCCATAAAAAAGAACAACCCGATTTATAATTTGGAAAATTTCATGATAATATCAACCATTTTTTAATTAGAAAAAGGCAAATCTCTGACGCGTCTGCACGCGCCATTTGACTTTTTCTTTGGGAAGGGGGTTAAAAACTGGTATATTCTCTCGATTAGGTTCACAGATAACATTCATAATTATTTTTTTATTTATTTATCATAAAAAATAACACATCTTCAGACACAAACGAATTAGTATGTCAAATTGTGAATATTTTGGATAATCTGAGGTTAATACACATAGGTAAATATACAGGATGAATACTGAAGAAGGGACTGAATTGCATATTACCTAATACGCTGGAAATGTATGTCTATGATAAATAAAATGAGAAGTGTCAATGTAAAAATAATTAATCACAAACTATGAAAAGAGGAAATACGAAAATATCTCTTCTCTGTATACATTTCATTATCATGATTTCCCCAGCTATATACAGTTCCTCAAAATATGATACCCCCTTTACCCCTCCCCCTTTCGGAGTTTCGTGAACACATAGCATGGTGAATTGTTGTACCAGAATCAGTCTGGGGCAACCAGTATTACACATTCATAGACAGGGCTCGAGGGCAATATGCATTTTGTCGGACCCAAGAACCAAACTGTTTGCAGGAGACTGTTAGGCCGAAGGCAAATAGTTTTGTTCGAGGGGTCTACGAAACACATTGCGCCAGATCTAGAGAACAAATTCGATCAATGTTTTGTTATACATTTTACTGTTTATTATGGTATTATTATGATGAAATTTTTGTTAATCCTCACTGCATTTAAAGACTGTCAATTCCGTAAAGTTCTGACAGCTGACCCCGCTCACACTTTGACATAAACGGTATATTATCTCATCGAAAGGTCCAGCATCTCGCTCCACGGTCAAACAGCTTTTTATTTGACTATTTGACTGAAGAAAACAGTAGAAAGGTTATTCTTTTTAGTATAAATTTATATAACAATTTTTAAAAGTATAACAAAAATTACATTCAACTCACCTAAAAAAATTTGAATTTTAACAAGCAAAAAAATGCAAAAAGAAAGGAGGTAACAACAGTTTGACAACCAAATTTTATATTTTATCAACACAAATTAGCAAATAATAGTTACTATGATTTTTCTTTATACAATGTTATATAAGCCTTATAGTTTTTTGGTAATAGACCTGCACTCATAACTTTTACCTGGTCTATTATCTGAAAAATGTACGTCGAATTCAGCATCCGAAGCAAGTCCATTAATGTGCATCCTAAGATGCATCATCCATGCAAGACTGCTCATTATAGGGCTTATAGTTAATTGGAAATGAAACATCATCAAAAACTAACATTTTCACTCATTCACAAAATGTAGGTCAGATTCAGCATCCGAAGCAAGCCCGGTAGTATGCATCCTTAGATGTATCATCCATGCAAGTTTGGTCATTAAAGATCTCATAAATGTAGTGACTTGGAAATGAATCATGCACCAAAATCTTTAACCTATTCACGCAACCGAAAAATGTAGGTCATACTCAGCATCCGAAGCAAACCTGGTAGTATGCATCCTTAGATGTAGCATCCATGCAAGTTTGGTCAACATAGGGCTTATAGTTACTTGAAAATAAAACCTACACCAAAAACTTTAACCTGTTCACTTAACCGCATAATTGCAGGTCAGAATCAGTATCAGAAGCAAGTCTGGTAGTATGCATCCTTAGGTGTATCATCCATGCAAGTTGGTCAACGTAGGGCTTATAGTTACTTGGAAATGAAAACTACACCAAAAACTGCACCAAAAATGTTAACTTGCTCCAAAAAGATTAACCTGGTCATTCCTTGGCTGAAATTGCAGCATCTGAAACTTTGACTGGTACAATGAAACACACTAGAACCATCTTCTATGCATGTCTAATCAATAAAGGACATAGAAGTACTTAAAAAGAAAACTGCTCCAAAAAACATAACCTCTACCTGGGACGTCGACGCCGACACCGACGCCGAGATACTACATAAGCTCCCCCAACTTCGTTGAGGTGAGCTAAAAAGGTATTGGCAGTATAAAAGAGATGAAAACAACACCAAGTATGCATTTGACTTTATTTTGCGACTCCCCCTGTGATGTGCTTTCCCATAAACGACTCCCCCCCTACGTAACCGTCACTGTCTGAGGAGAAAATGTCTTAATTACAGGTATTAATTTTTATAAAGTCTAGTCAAGTTTAAGTTGTTACATTTAAAAGATTATCGTTTTCTCTCGCTGTTTTAACTGTGAGAATCCCTACGCAGGCCGTAGATTGTACAAATCATGCATGTTTTTACCATCCGATCAACGTAAATATGAAAACTGTGAAATAGTTTCGAAGTGTTTGAGAAAACTAGACATATATGACAGCCGGACAAATGACCAAAATAAAGCTTAACTATTGCCATCTTCCGTGGGATATTTGTTTTTTGTAAATACATCTTATAAATACCGAAAAAGACGTGACCCACATCTCTTCCGACTCCGAAGCGGTGAAAATCTACTCCCCCATACGTTGAAAACGACTCCCCCATACTTTTTAGCGACTCCCCCGCGTTACCCGTTGTATACGGTGAAGGTTAATGTTTTTGTGACAGACGGAC